AAGCAGTGATGTCATTCAGCCCCACTTACAGTGGTGGACGGAGTGAGATTCTCAGACACATTCATAATGTACAGGCCTGGTGTACCTGCCCACATTCACTACAATTCCCCTGTGGATGATGGTAACTGTAGTTTCCTTTTACTGCAGAGGGAGAGGAGAGGATATGATGTAATCCTGGCTGTTACATCTCCTCCTTGGCAGAGCAGATGTTGTTATCTTTTGAATTACAGAGATGAGGTCCTGCAAATTCAATTGGATGTTTCTCCTAAATGGTAAGGATTTTCAAAAATGTTATTAACGGTTTACTGTTTTTTTATTGTGGGGGGGCGGATGGTACTAATGGGTGATATTTTTTGCCTATACCGTAGTTCTTTTTCAAAGAAAAATAAAGACTTCTATGTTTAAGGCTGTTGGATGTGGTCCCGAGGTGCTTGCCCCCCGAACTTCAAACAGGGAAGTAAAAATACAACAAAACAGGTTGATATATATGTGGAAAAGAGGTAAAGGTCAGTGAGAAGAAATTATTCACAAAGGAGTCCACAAGGAGGTATGACATGGGCACATTTGGTGACCGCATTTCATCACTTTATCTATAGTCCTATTAGTTTTATACAAAGGTTTAAAGTTTATATCTGACACACAATGTATATGCCCCCAAAGAAAGATTAAGCTTTCAGTAACAGACTTTTACATCTTTTCAAAAATGTATTCGCCCCTTCCTCCTCAAGTATTTAGGGGTGCAGCCCCTGCAAAAATCTGATACCATTGCTGCATTTTGCTAGTTCAGATTTCAAAAAGACTTCTGGTAGGAAAGGACCAAAGACTGCTTTAAGGGTTGTTTCTGCTTTCGTCTGATAACCTTTAGCTTGACTGCCAGTGCAGGTCCCACCTTTCTTGACTGCTAGTGCTACAAGGTCCCACCTTTCCTTACTGCCGATACTAAGGTCCCACCTTTCTTGACTATCGGTGCTAAGGTCCTACTTTTCTTGGCTATTGATGCTAAAGTCCCACATTTCTTGACTACCGGTGCTAAGGTCCCACCTTTCTTGACTACCGGTGCTAAGGTCCTACCCGTCTAGATTACCAGTGCTACATATCCCACCATTCTTGACTGTCATTACCAAGGGCCCACCTATCTTTACTGTCAGTGTCACCAGGTCCTACCTTTCTATGTTAGGGTACCTGGTAGGATTTTTACAGGACATCTAAACCTGAGGGTGGGTAAATGGTCTATTGGACTATTTGGTCTCAACTCCCAAGTTTTGAAAGATATCTATTGTAGCCACATTCAGTAAATAAGCTGCAAATATTATGAGAAATGTTACACATCCTGGCCATTTTTGTAAGCTCCACCCTCCCCACCAGCAAACTTAGAGTGCTATGGACTGGTAAACTGACAATTCATCTACAGCTCTACAGAGGAAAATAAAAATTTGCAAAGCAAGACAAGTTTTGAGCGTAACTTTTAATCCAAGAAAGATTGAACATTTGTTTTAGTTGTTGGTTTTAGAATGTATTGATTTAATTTTATTATGGCTCTATGTTTCTATACAGAGGTCGGTGATGTCAAACTAAATTTTCACTGCATTTAACATACTAATAAAGTATCTTATCTTACCATTAGCTTGACTGCCAGTGCCACCAGGTCCTACCCTTCTATGTTAGTATCTGCGGTAGGATTTGTAAGATATCTAACCCTAGGAAAAATGGAATAAATTGCAACACACCAGTCCTTACATTTTTTTTAGACTAGGAACATTTTCATCAAGTACACAACACCGGTTACCATCTGTCATAAAGTAGCCTAGTAGCTTCCTATGAATTGAACTAAAAGCACAAACAATCATATCCTCCTTCCAAGCTTGTTGTGTAGGTGCAGCACTGCTCCAGGGAATCATAGAGAAACCAAGTTTCCCTTGACTTCCCTTCTAGCTGCAGTAGTGTTCTGGATGAGCACCACCTACAGTGGAGAAAATATACTGCACCTGCCTACACTCCTCCCCAATTTGACAAATGCTGTCATCAGCATTGAACACAACACAGAACGGTGTACACAGTAATAATGCAAATATCAATGCAAGAAAAACTTTAAACAATATAATAAAAATACTTTGAAGGTACAGTAATTGTCAACAATTAGACCTAACTGGACTGATGACTCCACTGTGGGTTCACAGCCGCAGTCTTCATCATATTCTACTGGGGCCTCCATTACTACAAAGGGTTGTGGATTGGCAGAGCCAGCTGCATCCCATCCCTCAGGGCTAGAGGCTGGTGTGTTGGCTGAGTCCATGGAATCATCAGAACTTGAATCCTGTGGGGCCAAGGTTTCTGGATTGCCCATAGGCCCTCCAAGACCACGTCATACATTGGTGTCAGAGGGAAAGGCTGTTTTTCCTGATATGAGTGTGCTCCCACTTGAGCTCCAGCTTGCTGCCCCTTTTGTACTTGGGATTCTTTACCAACTCCCAGTCCCCTGGTCTTAGCTGTAACTCATTTAGGACTGAGTCCTCAGCCAAGTCTTGGGTTTCTTGGCCTTTTGTAGCTGTTTCCAGTGTTCCCACTCACATGTGCTGGGTGTTGGCTCCTGGGAGCAGTTTGAGAAGTTCAAAAAGAGGTCCACCGGCCAATGGCTATAACAACCAAACATAAAAAAGGTGGCACAACCTATGGCCCGATGCACAGTGTTGGCTCACTGCGGCTCCCATGTGTTGGTGCCAATGATTTCTGTGACCCTGTTCCAGGGTCCGAAGCATGCCCAGCAGGGTATGGTTAAAGTGTTCACAGACCCCCGTTTCTCTGGAAATGGTATGGTGTAGTGTGGGATTTCCAGATACTGCTATGTCGGCACACTTGGGGCAATATTTGGAGTCAAAGTGGAATAGTGGAACCCCGTAGGAGATTATCAGGAAGTTCATGATGACTAATTTGAAGGGCTCTGAAGTGGTAATGGTCATAGGGGTGGTCTCTTCTCCTGGGGCCTTGCGGCTGGAGCAAGTGGCACATTCCCAGCATACTCCTTGAATCCACTTGAATAGCCAAGGGCAGAAGAAATGCTTCCTAACCAGGGCTTCAGTTCTATTGGCCCCAAAATGGCCACTTGTGATGTGCATTACCTGGCAAACATGGAGGATGGGTGACAGGGGGAACCACAACCTGTATAATATGTTTCTATGCTTAGTGAGGCTGCAAGCCTGCAGTAAAGAACATTACCCCAGAACTCGAGGCAATCCCACTGCCTCAGGACTGCTATGGTGGTGTCAGAAATTATCTGGCATTCCCATGAGGATAGTTTTCATAGTCAGGCCAAGAAGTGCTGCAACTGCATGAGGTCAGGGTCCAGTTTCTGGATTTGGGCTCACTCCTCTAGAGTGTGTAACCTTACCAGGGGTGCTGCTGGATAGCCCTTGAGTGTGCAGATGGAGGCAGCTGTGGGGAGGACATGCAAAACTGTACGTTTAAATCTATTTTTCTCACCAGAAAAACTGGGGCAACACATGGGCTGCGACTTTCCCAGAGGACCCCACTCTGTAGCATGTCGTGGATCAGATCCTTAATGTCAGGAATGGACTTGCCAGTAATGGTGGGACTCACCTGCCTTGTGGGCTGCAGTACCAGGGCTGGCCAGCGGGTGCTCTCAGCAATCAGAGACTCAACCCTGCAGCCAGCCAAACACCTGAAGCTGATTACGAGGTGTATTTAAGGGATGGCCAGACCTGCAGTCTGGGCCTTGGTGTGTGTTTTTTTCCATGGGCCCCTGTATCTTGTTACCTGCGTTCCTGTTCCTGTTTCTGCCTCTGCCTGACTTGTTGCTGACCCTGCCTGATCCTGACCTCTGCTGACTTCTCCTGTTTTGATCCCTGGCTTGTGACCCTGACCATTCTCTCCGCCTGCTCCTCCTGTACCTACCTGCCCGATAGTTATCGACCCGGCCTGCCTGATTACATTGTGCTCTATATGTGTATGTACCTGTGTATCTGTATCAGTTTAGGTTTGGGTTTGTTTCACCTTGTTGTATGTATTTGTGTTAGCTTGGGGTTTGGTGCACTGCGTTTATATTTGTATTGTTAGTCTTTAATAAATTATATTGTTTATAACATATCTGAAGCCTGCGTTTCCCTGCGTCAGTTCACATACCTCTGGTCATACCCGCATCCCTGACATTACACCAAGGCCATCCTGACCAGAAGTGGCTGCACAGGGAAGCCATCTTGGCTTGTTGCTGGGAAGGATGGATCTTGATGAGGTTGTGTATTTATATCTGCTGGTTTTTGATGACAGAGAATATGCTTATCAGACTCTGAAGGAGTATCCCCGGGATCAACTGCTAGAATGCATACGGCTCGCTCATGTTCTAGTAGATCAGGGCACAGAGTTCTCTGAGGTGCAACATTTGATTCAGGTTTGTGTAGAGTTGGCTTCATCTGGTGCCCCTGAAAACAGGAATGACTTTTTGCCACCATTTAGTGCAGACCAGGTAGAGTCCCTGGTATGGTTATTAGAGGATGATGTGGATTGCTTCTTGGAGCATTATGCTGCATGTTCACCACAGGTATTAAGGGATTGTATAAACGCTGTGCAGTCTTTGACCAGACAGGCTTTGTGTAAGCTAAGCTTTGTTCAACCCATACTGCAGACATGGTCAGACTTGTTGCACCCAGCCTCAGTCAGCTTGCAACGTCATTCCTCTGCTCAAGGCACTCTTACTGCATCCCCGACAGCACCCCCAGTGACGGCCCAGTATACTCTGCTAACTACCACATACCAGTCCCCTGCTCCCACTCGCTGCACCTATCCTTTCTTTGGCCCTGTGGAGAGGTCCTCTGTGGCGGCTGCTCCCTCCTCTGTTCCATCTTCCAGGTCTTCTCTGTCCTCAGCTGCTCCATTCGTTTGCAGACCTGCGTTTACTTGCAGTGCTCCAGTAGTTAAAACCAGAAAAAAGCGAAAATTATTTCCAACCAGTACCATCCTGCCAGTATTCAAACCGGTGAGCCTGCCATCTGAGAACCTGCCTTCCGTGGTTCAGCCTGGTGCCTCGGCACCCGCACTTCAGCCTGATGTCTGTACCCAGCCTGATGTCTGTACCCAGCCTGATGTCTGTACCCAGCCTGATGATCCTATCACGCCTGATGACCCAGTGCCCGCTGTAATACCTGGTGACCCGATGCCCACTGTCGAGCCAGACGATCCAATGCCTGATGACCCAGTGCCCGCTGTCATGCCTGGTGACCCGATGCCTGCTGTCGAGCCCGACGATCCAGCGCCAGATGACCCGGTGCCTGCTGTCGAGCCAGACGATCCGGTACCTGATGACCCGGTGCCCGCTGTCATGCCAATTGACTCAGAGCCCACTGTCGTGCTTGGTGACTCAGTGCCCACTGCCTTGCCAGATGACGCGGTGCCCGCTATCGAGCCAAATGACCTGATGCCTGGTGACCCGATGCCCGCTGTCGAGCCAGACGGTCCAATGTCTGACCCAGTGCCCGCAGTCATGCCAGTTGACTCGGAGCCCACTGTCGTGCCTGGTGACTCGGTGCCCACTGCCTTGCCAGATGACGCAGTGCCCGCTGGCGAGCCAAATGACCTGATGCCTGGTGACCCAGTGCCCGCTGTCATACCTGGTGACCCGATGCCCGCTGTCGAGCCAGACAATTCAATGACTGATGACCCAGTGCCCGCTGTCATGCCTGGTGACCCGATGCCCGCTGTCGAGCCAGACGATCCAATGTCTGACCCAGTGCCCGCGGTCATGCCAGTTGACTCGGAACCCACTTTCGTGCCTGGTGACTCGGTGCCCACTGCCTTGCCAGATGACGCGGTGCCCGCTGGCAAGCCAAATTACCTGATGCCTGGTGACCCGATGCCCGCTGTCGTGCCTGATGACCCAGTGCCCGCCACTCCGCCTGGGGGCCCGGTGCCTGCCACCCCTCCTGGGGGTCCGGCGCCCGCCGCTCCGCCTGGGGGCCTGTCGCTCCGCCTGGGGGCCTGGTGCCTGTCGCTCCGCCTGGGGGCCGGCGCCCGCCACCCCGCCTGGGGACCCGATGCCTGTCGCTCCACCCGGGGGCCTGGTGCCCGCTGCCCATCCTGGGGGCCCAGTGCCCACCGCTCCGCCTGGGGGCCCTGTGCCCAGCGCTCCTCCTGGGGGCCCGGTGCCCGCCGCTCCGCCTGGGGGCCCTGTGCCTGTCGCTCCCGCCTGGGGGCCCAATGCCTGTCGCTCCACCTGGGGGCCCGATGCCTGTCGCTCCGCCTGGGGGCCCGATGCCTGTCGCTCTGCCTGGGGTCCCAGTGCCTGTCGCTCCGCCTGGTGGCCCGATGTGCCTGCTGCCCCGCCTGGTGGCCCTTTGCCTGCTGCTCCGCCTGGTGATCCGGTGTCCAGCCCGATATGTGCCTCTGCCCGGTGTCCAGTCCGATGTGCCTCTGTCCGGAGTCCAGCCCGATGTGCCTCTGCCCAGAGTCCAACCCGATGTGCCTCTGCCCGGAGTCCAGCCCGATGTGCCTCTGCCCGGAGTCCAGCCCGATGTGCCAGTCTTTGATATCCCGCCAGTTACCAGACCCGGGCGGTGGAACATTTTGCCCAGCTAGGACTGTTTGGAGCGTCCTGAGGCCGCTCCTTGAGGGGGGGGGGTACTGTCAGGAACGGACTTGCCAGTAATGGTGGGACTCACCTGCATTGTGGGCTGCAGTACCAGGGCTGGCCAGCGGGTGCTCTCAGCAATCAGAGACTCAACCCTGCAGCCAGCCAAACACCTGAAGCTGATTATGGAGGTGTATTTAAGGGATGGCCAGACCTGCAGTCTGGGCCTTGGTGTGTGTTTTTCTATGGGCCCCTGAATCTTGTTACCTGCGTTCCTGTTCCTGTTTCTGCCTCTGCCTCTGCCTGACTTGTTGCTGACCCTGCCTGATCCTGACCTCTGCTGACTTCTCCTGTTTTGATTCCTGGCTTGTGACCCTGACAATTCTCTCCGCCTGCTCCTCCTGTACCTACCTGCCCGATAATTATTGACCCGGCTTGCCTGACTACGTTGTGCTCTAGATGTGTATGTACCTGTGTATCTGTATCAGTTTAGGTTTGGGTTTGTTTCACCTTGTTGTATGTATTTGTGTTAGCTTGGGTTTGGTGCACTGCGTTTATGTTGTATTGTTAGTCTTTAATAAATTATATTGTTTATAACATACAGTCAGGTCCATAAATATTGGGACATGGACACAATTCTAACATTTTTGGCTCTATACACCACCACAATAGATTTGAAATGAAACGAACAAGATGTGCTTTAACTGCAGACTGTCAGCTTTAATTTGAGGGTATTTACATCCAAATCAGGTGAACGGTGTAGGAATTACAACAGTTTGCATATGTGCCTCCCACTTGTTAAGGGACCAAAGGTAATGGGACAATTGGCTTCTCAGCTGTTCCATGGCCAGGTGTGTGTTATTCCCTCATTATCCCAATTACAATGAGCAGATAAAAGGTCCAGAGTTCATTTCAAGTGTGCTATTTGCATTTGGAATCTGTTGCTGTCAACTCTCAAGATGAGATCCAAAGAGCTGTCACTATCAGTGAAGCCATCATTAGGCTGAAAAAAAAAAACAAAACAAGCCCATCAGAGAGATAGCAAAAACATTAGGCGTGGCCAAAACAACTGTTTGGAACATTCTTAAAAAGAAGGAACGCACCGGTGAGCTCAGCAACACCAAAAGACCCTGAAGACCACGGAAAACAACTGTGGTGGATGAGCGAAGAATTCTTTCCCTGGTGAAGAAAACACCCTTCACAACAGTTGGCCAGATCAAGAACACTCTCCAGGAGGTAGGTGTATGTGTGTCAAAGTCACCAATCAAGAGAAGACTTCACCAGAGTGAATACAGAGGGTTCACCACAAGATGTAAACCATTGGTGAGCCTCAAAAACAGGAAGGCCAGATTAGAGTTTGCCAAACGACATGTAAAAAAGCCTTCACAGTTCTGGAACAACATCCTATGGACAGATGAGACCGAGATCAACTTGTACCAGAGTGATGAGAAGAGAAGAGTATGGAGAAGGAACTGCTCATGATCCTAAGCATACCACCTCATCAGTGAAGCATGGCGGTGGTAGTGTCATGGCGTGGGCATGTATGGCTGCCAATGGAACTGGTTCTCTTGTATTTATTGATGATGTGACTGCTGAGAAAAGCAGCAGGATGAATTCTGAAGTGTTTCGGGAATATTATCTGCTCATATTCAGCCAAATGCTTCAGAACTCATTGGACGCTTCACAGTGCAGATGGACAATGACCCAAAGCAGACTGCAAAAGCAGCCAAAGAGTTTTTTAAGGGAAAGAAGTGGAATGTTATGCCATGGCCAAGTCAATCACCTGACCTGAATCCGATTGAGCATGCATTTCACTTGCTGAAGACAAAACTAAAGGGAAAATGCCCCAAGAACAAGCAGGAACTAAAGACAGTTGCAGTAGAGGCCTGGCAGAGCATCACCAGGGATGAAACCCAGCGTCTGGTGATGTCTATGCGTTCCAGACTTCAGGCTGTAATTGACTGCAAAGGATTTGCAACCAAGCATTAAAAAGTGAAAGTTTGATGTATGATTATTATTCTGTCCCATTACTTTTGGTCCCTTAACAAGTGGGAGGCACATATGCAAACTGTTGTAATTCCTACACCGTTCACCTGATTTGGATGTAAATACCCTCAAATTAAAGCTGACAGTCTGCAGTTAAAGCACATCTTGCCTGTTTCATTTCAAATCCATTGTGGTGGTGTATAGAGCCAAAAATGTTAGAATTGTGTCAATGTGCCGATATTTAAGGATCTGACTGTATCTGAAGCCTGCGTTTCCCTGCGTCGGTTCACATACCTCTGGTCATACCCGGAGCCCTGACACTTAACCTCTTGGCAGAGAGCCAGGGTGGAGCAGCCCCTGTATTGATGGGATGGTCTATGGTTTCGGTGCAGCCATAATATTCAGGGCTGGTGGCAGATATTAGCAGATACTTCTCCAGCAGTTGGTGGAGGAGCCATTGATGGGGCAAGAGATAGTCCTGGAACAGAGGGTCCTGTGTTACCAGTAACAGTTTATATTGCTCCTCATCCAGAGAGGACATAGCAGCCTGTAATGAGCACAAGCAATTTCCACCCTCATTTAGGCTCAGGAGATGCAATGCACCGGTAGTAGGCCCAAACTGAAGACAGCGCTTGCCAAGGGGGTTGCAACACAGCCTGTCCGGTTAAACCCAAAAGTGAGCTTGCTGAAGTGCAGACACGGGCCCTGAGCTTCCCGTATTCCACCACCTTTCCCTGTCACTAGTGCTGTCCTTGACATATGGGTGTGCTCTCCCTCCACTAGCTACTTCACAAATGCACACCAAAACCTGGGGGCAGGGACTTAGAAAGACTGCATGACCCAAGATGACCTCCTGGATGCAGTATAGCAAACTGAAACACTGCTCCAGCAAACCATAGAGAAACCAAGTTTGTCTTGACTTCCTCTCCAGCTGCAGTTCTACTCCAGACGAGTGCCACCTACAGTGGAGGAAATAGACTGCACCTGCCTACAAGCTATGTTCTGTAAGCTACTAATTTAAAAATCTACCATGCAATGAAGATAAAGAAAGAAAAACAAGTTTGAAATCTAGCCTGGGTGTCAACCATAATAACAAATATGGTCAGTACATCAGATGTAGCAGATCTCTAATCTTGGAGTATATATATATATATATCCCCTGACAAAGCACCTTCTTCTCATGTTGATGAGGACAAGGGCCTCTTCCCTGCAACTCTGTCCCAGTGTTTGTGGGGTGCAGGGGGTAGCTTATTGGAATCTGGAAATCCTAGCTTCCATGTGAATGAGTATGGGGGTACTTACTCATTCAAAAAAAAATGTCAAAAGTAATTAAAAACAACAACACACAGTCTATGACAAGTCCTTTATAAAAACAAAAAGCAAAAAAAATGTCCTCCTATGTAAATCTATTGTCAATGACGATGAACGCCGACCACCAATCCTCACAAAAAAAACTCTCCTCCTCCTGAACAAATACACTCATGGCATGACAGCCACTTCCCCCAGCTAGTAAATAAACATGGGGTTGGGGTTACCGGCGGTATCACAGGATGGACACACCCTTATGACATCATGGGGCAAGTTGCAGAGTGCCATCTTGAGGGCATGGTCACCTGGTGATGTCATTGTTTTCACATGGGGAGGTTGGGTTTTATTTCAGGGAACTTCCAGATTCGGATACGCTACCCCCACACCCTTCAACATGGGGGCAAGGCGCTTTGCCAAAGGGGCCCCCCATTTTGAGGGCATGATGCACAATCCCCCCCTTTCCTGGCTTACCAGGCTGCATGCTTGGATAAGGGTCTGGTATTGATTTTGGGTGACATGTCATTTTTTTTTTTTGGTGTGGTGTTCCCCATCCATACCAGAACCAAAAGACCTGTTATGGATTTAGGGGACCCCTATAATTTTTTTGCAGTGTCGGCTCTTTTGTTTACATTCTACTGTCAATGGGGACAGCTGTTGCTGACAGCAGGGATGACTCTTCGTTGTTAGGAAGCCAGTGGACGCCAGCTCCTTAGCAACAGATGACTCTTTCTTGCTGGCTGACAGCAGGGATGAGTAACTGGTTGTTAGGTCACCAGCGGGTGCTGTCTCCTAACAACCAGTACAAAACACTGCAAAAACCTGTGGTTCAAATATTCGACCACCAACCAAACAGGGGGGTGTTTAACCGATCAGTAATCATTTGAAAGCAACTGTCTGGTCTGCCAGTGTATCGGATCTGCCCAGAGGGGAAGACAGACCTATTGAAAGTCTGGCGTGAAATCACCTTTTGCTCCTGAGTGCAGCTGTTTGGATGTCCCAGTAGACTGCAAATCTTCTGCAAGACTGAGGGAATATTGGCAGGGGGTTTGGAACCTCATTTGTAAACTGATGTTGAACTTAGTAACAAGCCAGTGACTTACTGTATCTTAGTCTCTTCTAATCCACCTATTGAATGCTGCCAGGACTCACCTCATTCTCAGACTCAAGGCTCATGGTTCTCTAAAATTAGTGAGATCGGACATATTGAAGACCTTGCAGCCTCTTTAGAAGCCCAGGAGGATACATTTAGACATACGTGGTTTTAATGGATAGAATTCATGGACTTCGCGGGTCAAGATGAGCACATAGTCGATGTTAAAGACATGCTATGCACTATGCTCCATTGCATGGATGTCTTGATTACCTTTAACACTGTGCCAGAGACATGTTGAACACATTGGAAATTTGTCAAGGATATGCTAAGTCCACTGACAACTCCTTATAGACCAGAGCAATTTTTACAATTCAAACATGGGCCTGTTTATTCATCCTCTCTATTTGTCCTATTTACTGGGTTAACACCAGAACTGTAATAGAGGGTAAACATTTCCATTGGGGACCCTAGTTCTGGAGACCCTGATGACACACCAGGATTTCTCATAAACTCTTGTTTTGACTATAGGACAAGAAGTGAAAGGAAATCTCCCCAATGGGACACAGATGGCAAAAAAACCTGATGGGGGTTATACCCCTCCATTAGTCTATCCAAAATTCAAAAAACAATGTACTTTAATGACACTTTCATACTATCTGAAGGATCATTTTACACAGCCGAGATACATAGCAAGTCCAGCTTGTCATTTTTGCCAGCCTGGAAATGCCTACATTTGTGACCGGGAAGCAGCGTCAGGGGCAGAAAAGCTAATCCTAAGGGAAATATGCCCTAAATAAAACTTTTACCTGAGTTTCTACAGAGTATCTCCTACCCCAAGGTTCTCAAGTGGTTAGAGAAGCCTGTACTTCCAGGAGGTGGACTTCATTTTATTTGTGCAGGCTGCACTGAAAAGTTGTGATTATCTTGTTTCTCTTTACTTTGTCTGTCTACATTCTCTAAGTTGTATCGTAGTGTATTACAAGTTTTGTCCAGCAACAGTTAGTACATGTGGCCAGTGAAATGACCTATCAGAATTGCAAAGTGGACAAACAATTGGTTCTGTTTAGCTGGAGCATCTGTATCAGTAACGGCCAAATTGTTTGATGCTTCAAGAGCAACAGTCTCCCACAAGCATGGCAAGACTAAAAAGTAAGTCTCTACAAGTGCAACAGTCTCCACAGAGTATTTGAAACTAAAGTACAACAGTCTCCACCAAGCATGTCCGGACTTCAAGAACACAAGTCTCCACCTAGCATGTCAAGACTTCAAGTCTCCACCTAGCTTGGTAAGACTCCAAGAGCAAAAGTCTCCGCCAAACATGGTATAACTTTAAGACCACCAGTCTCTATGAAGCATGACATGACCACAAAAGCAAAAGTCTCCACCAAGCTTGGCAGGATTCCAATTGCAAATGTCTCCACAAAGCATTTGAAACTACAAGTCCAACAGTCTCCACCAAGCATGACAAAACTTCAAGAGCAACAGTCACCACCAAGCATGGCAAGATTCCAAGAGCACCAGTCTCCACCAAGCATGACAAGGCTCCAAGAGCACCAGTCTCCATCGAACAAGGCAAGACTCCAAGTGCACTAGTCTCCACCCATTATTGCAAGTCTACAACAGCAATAGTCTTTACCAAGTATGGCAAGACTCTATTGGGGTTAGAAGAACAGCAGAGAGTAACTGAATGATGGATTGTTAAACACTAAGACTGTGGTCAAGCACAGAAGTACTGCATCAAAAATGATAATGGATCTCATTATCCCCCTTGAAGACCCACAAAACCAGTCTGGAGGGAACTTCACAAAGCCAACATTCATGGAAGAACTAAAGCAACACAAAAAAAGAAACCTCAAATAATATATCTGTTGTGGATACCGATACTTCAGCTAAACGGTCACTAAGGATTCTTTCTGGAAGTCAGAAAAGGAAACACAACATACAATACACTACCATACATCCTAGAGAACACAGACAAAGAAAAGATAATTGCAACATATCATACTGGTGTTCACAACACTGCGTCCACCAGCTTGTCATTTTTCTTATCTAGAATGTCCTTTAACAGCCCAATATTCTTTCATGTCATTCACTGATGTCTTTAAAGCTTTACGAATGTCCTGACTCCTTAAAGTGTAAATGATGGGGTTTAACATGGGAAGTATAAAAAAGTATATAAAGGTGAGTCCGTTGTAAATGTTGTTACTCAATGTATCAGACAGTGTCAGTGCATATATGTAGCAAATGGTATTCCAAAATATAAAGTCACCACCACAAGATGGGAGCTGCAGGTGGAGAAGGCTTTCTGTCTCCTGGCTGATGTCTTTATCCTCAGGATGGAGATAATGATCAGTAGGTAGGACAAGACAATAAACGCAAAAGGTAGATTAAGTAGATACGTTATTACCCAGCCAAATATGTAGAGGGGTTTTGTGTTTGATATAACACACCATTTAACAGAGAATGCAGTGCATTCACAAAAAAAATAATAGATGATGACAGGGGCACAAAATTTTAGACTCATAAAGAAGTAAAATGAAACTGCTACAACCATGGCTGAAAATAACCAAAAGCTGATGATGAGATACAGGCAGAGTCTATTGTGCATGAGAGCCGAATATCTCAACGGTTGACAGATCGCCAAATATCGGTCATAGGACATCAGCGTCAGTAGAAAAGTCTCAAAGACTAAAATAGCAATCACTACATGCATCTGAATGACACAATCAACAAAAGGAACAACACTTCTTCCCCATAGGATGTTTTGCATCACTGATGGATCAATGCCTGTGGTGCCAACAAACTCGCAAAATAATAAATTGCTGATCAGAAAGTACATGGGGGAGTGGAGACGAGGGCTCTTCCATATTACAGAGATCATAAGAAGGTTCTCAATGCAGGTAAGGGTGTAGATAACCAATAAGAGAAGGAAAAGTGGAATTCTGTATTCATTAAACCCATCAAACCCAAGAATCAGGACTTCTGCAACAATTGTTTCATTCATTTGACGTAACACCTGTGAAAAAGTGATGGTTAATATTTTAGCACCCAACATATGTAAAGCTAAGAACTAAAATGTAATATAATGCATTTTACTAGCCCTAAGATGTTATTGTGTGGCAGTGTTTTCCTTTTTCAGGCCTTTTTTCCCCTGGTGGTCCTGCCAGTAACACAGTTCCTGTCCTAGGGTATCAACCTTCACTAACTCTGCTGGATCTATGGAGGAGCAGCATTGACATCTATGAACAGGAAATGAGTTAGGATGAAAGAACACCTCCTCTGTCCTCTTCTCTATAAACGAGAGGATGGGATGGGAGCTTACAATACACAGGAGGGAGCAGCTATCATATTCCAATTGTCAGCACTGCCCCACAGTTAGAGAACACTGCAATTCCAAGAGCCGGTCCAAAAAGCTCTGCAGTCTGGGATTGTATTTTTAATACCACATGTGCGGTCTGCATCCTCTGCTGTTATAACATGGGCACCATATGCCTGAGGAGACGCAAGAATCTACACCACAAACATTGGTGGGAGATGCAATTCCAGTTTGACAGCAAAAATGGCCACACTCCTCCTTCCTCACTTTACTCACTATACCAATATAAATACATATGTAGTCAGGTGCTGGATTACAGAAATATGGAAAAGGAGATATTACCTCTGTTTTACAGCTGCGCTAAATTTAGATCAACGCACTGGTGTGAAATGGCCCTTATGTGTGAAACTCGAAAAATTAGAATATGGTGCAAAAGTTCATTTATTTCAGAGCAGCAACTTAAAAGGTGAAACTAATATATGAGATAGACTCATTACATGCAAAGCAAGAAAGTTCAAGCCGTGATTTGTCATCATTGTGATGATTATGGCTTACAGGTCATGAAAACCCCAAATCCACAATCTCAGAAAATGAGAATATTCCATGCAATCAATAAAACACGGATTGTACATAGAACAATATCAGACCTCTGAAAAGTAGAAGCTGCATATGTACTCGGTACTTGGTTTGGGCCCCTTTTGCAGTAATTACTGCCTCAATGCGGCGTGGCATGAAAGCTATCAGCCTGTGGCACTGATGAGGTGTTATGGAAGACCAGGATGCTTCAATAGCGGCCTTCAGCTCTTCTGCATTGTTCGGTCTCATGTCTCTCATCTTTCTCTTGGCAATGCCCCATAGATTCTCTATGGGGTTCAGGTCAGGTGAGTTTGCTGGCCAATCAAGCACAGTAATCCCAGGTCAAGCTGGTCTGTGGAAGGAAGCATGAAGTGCTCCAAAATCTCCTGGTAGACGGCTGCGTTGACCCTGGACTTAATGAAGCACAGTGGACCAACACCAGCTGATGACATGGCTCCCCAAATCAACACAGACTGTGGAAACTTCACACTGGACTTCCAGCATCTTGCAGTGTGTGCCTCTCCATTCTTACTCCATACTCGGGGTCCTTGGGCCTCTCCATTCTTCCTCCATACTCGGGGTCCTTGGGCCCCTCCATTCCTCCTCCATACTCGGGGTCCTTGGTTTCCAAATGAGATGCAAAAGTTGCTCTCATCAGAAAAGAGGACTTTGGACCACTGAGCAACAGACCAGGTCTGTTTTTCTTTAGCCCAGGTAAGACGCTTCTGACGTTGTTTGTTGTTCAGGAGCGGCTTGACAAGAGGAATACGACATTTGAAGCCCATGTCCAGGATCCGCCTGTGTGTGGTGGCTCTTGATGCACTGACTCCAGCCTCAGTCCACTCCTTGTGAAAGCCCCCAACACTTTTGAATGGCCTTTTCCTGACAATCCTCTCCAGGCTGCGGTCATCCCTGCTGCTTGTGCACCTTTTTCTTCCACACTTTTCCCTTCCACATAACTTTCTATTAATGTGCTTTGATACAGCACTTTGGGAACATCCAAATTTTTTTTGCAATTACCTTTTGAGGCTTTCCCTCCTTATGGAGGGTGTCAATGATGGTTTTCTGCACAACTGTCAGGTCAGCAGTCTTTCCCATGATTGTGATTCCTACTGAACCAGACTGAGAGACCATTTAAAGGTTCAGGAACCCTTTGCAGGTGTTATGGCTTAATTATCTGATTAGAGTGGGACACTTTGAGCCGAGAATATTCCACCTTTTCACAATATTCTCATTTTCTGAGATTGTGGATTTGGGGTTTTCATGAGCTGTAAGCCATAATCATCACAATGATGACAAATCACGGCTTGAACTATCTTGCTTTGCATGTAATGAGTCTATCTCATATATTAATTTCACCTTTTACGTTGCATTACTGAAATAAATGAACTTTTGCACGATATTCTAATTTTTCGAGTTTCACCTGTATTCTTCTAGTCCTCTAAGGAGATACTGATGCTATGCTGCACCATTCTCCTCTGGCCAGTAGGGGGAGAGCTAAGGCAGAGCCGCCCATAGACTTCTATGCAGAGTGCTAAGAATCCTGGGAGTAGTAGTCTGAGATGGCAGTCATATAATGGGCAAACTTACAAAATCTGCAGGGGATCAAATAAATATTTTCCCCACTGTGTGTGTGTTTGTGTGTGTGTATATATATATATATATATATTGTTACTGTAATGAGAGGGAGTGGTCGGGGCTCACAGAAAAGAAGGCTGGCCCTGGGTTTGTGCACCCAAACAGATTTGCCAAGTTGGATGAAGATTTGTGGGGGTGGCAAGCTCAGGGGTGGCAGCCCTGGATGTCACTGCTATCCCTAACAGCCGGGAGGGCAGACCATCTGGGAGGGGTGGTGAGGGTAGTGCAGGAAGGCCTAGACAGATGGTGGTAGTAGGGGATTCTATAATCAGAAGGACTGATAGAATAATTGGTCGCCAGGATCACCTCAACCGAATGGTTTGCTATCTCCCTGGTTCCAGGGTTCGGCATGTGGTGGACAGTTGATAAATTACTGGGAGGGACTGGACATGACCCAGCTGTCTTGGTTCATGTTGGAACCAATGACAGAATACATGGAAGGTGGAGGCTCCTTAAGAATCAATTTAAAGAACGAGGCTGCAAGTTGATGGGAAGGACCTCCAAGGTAATATTTTCTGAAATATTAGCTGTGCCATGCGCAACTCAGGAAAGACAGGGGGAGATTAGAGAACTCAATGCATGGCTGAAGACCTGGTGTAAGAGGGAAGGATTTGGGTTTCTAGAGCACTGGGCTGACTTTTCATTGGGGTGCAGCTTATATGCTAGAGATGGTTTGCACCTAAATGGAAGGGGGTCTGCTGTGCTGGGGGAGAGGTTTATGGGAAGGCTGGAGGAGTATTTAAACTAGGATGGAGGGGGGAGGGAGAATTAGATTATAACAGGGAAGGCAGATCAGACAGGTGTCAGTACTTATTGGGGGGTTGAATGGGGAAAGATGGGGGGAAGGCTATGGCAGATGATAAGAAGGCTCTCATGTTACAAACAAACAGTGGAATTGGTACCATTTGTATGAAAATAAAAAAGTATTCAAAATACATGTGAACAAGGTGTCAATCAATTAAAGCCTTTCTTCACCAATGCCAGAAGTCTGCCAAGCAAAATAGGTGAGTTGGAAGCTTTGGCTCATGAAGAGAACTATGATTGAATTGGTATTGCTGAATATTGGCTTCATTCTTCACATGACTGGGCCATTCATATTCCTGGCTAGGTTCTCTTTCGGAGAGACAGGGGAAATAGGAAAGGTGGTGGTGTCTATGTGAGCAATGATCTCAGAGCGAGTGTGAAAGAGGACCTAGTTGATGGAGAGTGTGATGAGGCTGAAGCATTATGGGTGGAACTGCACACGGAGGTGCGTACTACAAAGGTCATCATTGGAGTTTGTTATAGACCTCCCAGTGTTAATGAGGAGGTGGAGACTCAGCTCCTTGCACAGATTGAAAGAGCTGCAAGGGCTGGGACAGTGATAATAATGGGGGATATTAACTATCCGGAAATTGACTGGAGTAATGGTACTGCAGGAACAGTTAAAGGGCAAAAATTTTTAAACCTACTACAGGACAATGTTACGGTACAGTTCATAGAGGTCCCAACTAGGAATGATGCTCTGCTGGACCTGGTAATCTCAAACCATGCAGAGCTTATTACTAATTTCCATATAAAAGAACATCTGGGTAGCAGTGACCATACCATGATTTCATTTATTGTTTGCTGTAAACAGCGAGCACATACGGGAAAAAAAATAAAAAAACACTCAATTTTAAGAGAGCTAATTCTCCAAGGCTGAGAGCTGCTCTCCAAGCCTTAGACTGGGAGGGAATATTGGCATTTATGAACACAACACAGAAATGGGAGTTGTTCAAAAAGGCTGTATGTGACCACACTGCAAAATATATTCCCATGGGCAATATGTTTAAAAGGCTAAAAATAAAACCTATGTGGCTTACGGCCAAAGTTAAAAAAGCTATAGATAATAAGAAAAGAGCTTTTATTAAATATAAAAATGAAAGAATGCGATCATCGTTTACACATTACAAAGAATATAACACTATATGCAAAAAGGAAATAAAGGCCACAAAAATTGAAAACAAATGACAGATTGCTAAAGATAGCTGGACCATCCCCCAAAAATTCTTCAAATATATTAACAGTAAAAAGGTCCGGTCTGAGCATATAGGCCCTTTACAGAATCATCTAGAGGGGGTGACTGGGGACAAAGAGAAGGACAATGTATGAAATCCCCTCTTCAGCTCTATGTATACAAAGGAGCATGGGGGGGCTCTTGTCCATAATGGGGGGTGGTACTGACACAGCCCCAGATGATCCACATTGGCTCACAATTGATATGATCCAGAAATATTTAGACAGAATAAAGGTGAATAAACACCTGGACTGGATGGCATACACCCACGTGGCCTTAAAGAATTGAGCTCTGTCATTTCACAGCCATTGTTTCTCATTTTTAGGAACTCTTTAATGACTGGCGTAGTACCACTGGATTGGTGTAAGGCCAATGTGGGGCCAATATTTATAAAGGGGACAAAATCTTTACCAAGTAATTATAGACCTGTTAGTGTAACTTCTATAGTTGGGAAGATATTGGAGAGTTTAATAAAAGACACATTGATGAGTTCTTGCTGTAAACAAATATTTTAAACAACAGACAGCATGGAGTCATGAAAGACAGAAGTTGTCAAACAAATCTGATTTCTTTTTATGAGGAGGTGAGAAAAACCTTGGACAGAGGGGTGGTGGTGGACATGGTACACTTGGACAGAGGGGTGGCGGTGGACATGGTATACTTGGAAAGAGGGGTGGCGGTGGACGTGGTATATTTGCACAGAGGGTTGGCTGTGGACGTGGTATACTTGCACAGAGCGGCAGTGGTGGACGTGGTATACTTGGACAGAGGGGTGGCAGGGGATGTGGTATACTTGGACAGAGGGGTGGCTGTGGACATAGTTTACTTGCACAGAAGGGTGGCGGTGGATGTGGTATACTTGGACAGAGGGGTGGTGGTGGACGTGGTATACTTGGACAGAGGGTGTGGTGGTGGACGTGGTATACTTGGACAGAGGGGTGGCTGTGGATGTGGTATACTTGGACAGAGGGGTGGCCGTGCACGTGGTATACTTGGACAGAGGGGTGGCTGTGGACGTGGTATACTTGGACAGAGGGGTGGCTGTAGACGTGGTATACTTGGACAGAGGGGTGGCTGTGGATGTGGTAAACAAGGACAGAGGGGTGGCTGTGGATGTGGTATACATGGACAGAGGGGTGGCTGTGGTATACTTGGACAGAAGGGTGGCTGTGGATGTGGTATACTTGCGCAGAAGGGTGGCGGTGGACGTGGTGTACTTGGACAGAGGGGTGGCGGTGGACGTGGTATACTTAGACAGAGGGGTGGCGTTGGACGTGGTATACTTGCACAGAAGGGTGGCGGTGGACGTGGTGTACTTGGACAGAGGGGTGGCGGTGGACGTGGTATACTTGGACAGAGGGGTGGCTGTGGATGTGGTATACTTGGACAGAGGGGTGGCTGTGGACGTGGTATACTTAGACAGAGGGGTGGCGTTGGACGTGGTATACTTGCACAGAAGGGTGGCGGTGGACGTGGTGTACTTGGACAGAGGGGTGGCGGTGGACGTGGTATACTTGGACAGAGGGGTGGCTGTGGATGTGGTATACTTGGACAGAGGGGTGGCTGTGGATGTGGTATACTTGGACAGAGGGGTGGCTGTGGATGTGGTATACTTGGACAGAGGGGTATGTATTTAGGTAACTTTATGGATCCAATTATAGGCATGTGCAAATAACTGCTGCTGTGGAGTTGATTATGTAGTTATTATGTATTTTTGTATTTAGAAATGTTCATCCATTAGCTCCTGAGGAAGTGGAAATACTCCAGGAAATGCGTTGAGCTTGTGGAATAAATAAATTGTTATGCTAGTATATACATATATATTGTTCAATTGAACACAGCTGGAATTGTTTTAGCAAGGAGAGAACCCACCTCAATATGGACAAACATTTTATTCAATATGTGAAGAGAGATTGATTTTAGAATATTTTTGGTATAAAATAACATTTTATTATTTGTTATGTGGCGCCTTTACAAATCCTGGTATACTTTTTTGGTCCTTTTCTTCTCTAATTTAATAGGGATGTGACACTGTTTTTCCTTGTTTACAATCTTAGTAATACTGTATGTTACTAGAGACCCCGCAGAGATGGATGAGTATTTTTTCAATCTTGGTTTAAGGTGGGGGACCAGTAAAAAGTATGGGAGTCCGACATGGCAAGCTCCCAGTTTATGTTGCCCCGTGTCTGAAAATACTTAGGCAGTGGCAGGTGACAGTGGAGGATATCCAGTCTCTTCCTAGGAAGCTTCTGGAGAAAAGGATTTTGAGTTCTGCTTTCAGTGTTTCACTGGCCCTAAAGGATCGTCCAGGCTCAGTAATGAGGGAGGGGTTGTGTTTAATTAATTTGGAGAAAATCTCTTTGAAGTTTAGGGATTAAGCCTGGCTCGCTTTTCATGGAGGGTGAGAGGGAACCTGAAGCAATGCCCTATGGATGATCAAGAATGTCCTAGAGCAGAGTGTGTTGGTAAAGTGGAGTGTATGGACCACCTTTTGACTATGGATAGTCAGGAATGTCCTAGAGCAGAGAGTGTTGGTAAAGTGGAATCTATGAACCATCTTTTGCTCCAGTGTCCCTTTAACATAGAGGTGTATAAAAGGGTGGGGAAGGTTCTAGGCATCCCCTTTCTTGATTGCATGAGTTATGCGGAGTGGGTGTATGGGGCATTCCTGACTTGCTGGGATTTTAATTTGGATACACTTTTTCTAGTTATTATAGTTGTCCATTACTTCAAGTGGAATGCACGGTGTCAGATCTCCTTGTGGAAGAAAGTCCTCCCTGTTAAACTTGTGGTGCACAATATTCTGGGTGAGGTTGGGAAGAGTCTTATGAAGGGCAGGAAGCCTCGGGCGGTCTGGATAGGGGCATGGAGGAATATCAGACCTGCCTTTGGTGAACTCTATCTCTGGGAGAGGGGCTCTTTTCTTTAGCTGTTCTTTTCAATCCCTTAGTTTTTGTTGGTTAAGATCTTCTTTTTAAAGAAGGGCTGCATGCGTGATGGGTGGGGGTTGGCCTCACAGGTTTGTTGTCTGGGGTGGTAAGATTTATTTTCCCCCAGTATTGTACAGTATCTTTATTTATGAGATTTTGCTATAAAGCCATCTTCTGTTTGACAGCAGATTATGCCATATTTATTTATTTATTTTGTGTAGATATGTATATACTTTATGTATGTTCTGTAGATGGAGTTTATGTTTATTGATGGCAAGCCTTTGGCAGCAGTTAGTGGGGCAGTAAACAGGTACAGTGGCCGTCATTGGAGAAGAATGTCGTGTTTGATGTTACATTGGCAGCCAAAGTCAGCTTAGAAATCAGGTGTAAGGGTAGTATGGAGGAGACGTTTTGTGTGCTATTACATTGGTGGTGGTCAGTAAAGAAAAATGCTGTGTGTGTGTGTGTTGTTACATCGGCAGCAGTATCTGATGAGGTGAATTAGTACAGTGTTTATTTATTTCATTTTTAAAATTTATTTCAGGTACTTATATACCACCATCAATTTACGCAGCACTTTACTTATATATATATATATATTGTACATTCACATCAGTCCCTAACCCTCAAGGGGTGTGCAATCTGAGGTCCCTAACTCACATTCATACATACACATATTAGGGCCAATTTAGACAAGAGCCAATTAATCTACCAGCATGTCTTTGGAGTGTGGGAGGAAGTTGGAGTACCTGGAGGAAACCCACAGTCACAGGGAGAACATGCAAACTCCAGGCAGGTGGTGCCATGTCTGGGATTTGAACCAACGACCCGAGTACTGCCAGGCAGAAGTGCTGACCATTTAGTCACTGTGCTGCCCGTTACATTAGCAGTCAGAGTCAGGCTAGAGCTGGGGTGCGATTGCTGACAGCTGAGTGGAGAACTCAATACATAGACATTAAAAAAAGTCCCAACATGACATCATATGTTACAATATCTATCTATCTATCTATCTATTATCTATCATCTATCTATCTATCTATCTATCTATCTATCTATCTATCTATCTATCTATCTATCTATTATCTATCTATTATCTATCTATCTATCTATTATCTATCTATTGATCTATCTATCTATCTATCTATCTATCTATCTATCTATCTATTATCTATCTATCTATCTATTTATCTATCTATCTATCTATCTATCTATCTTTCTATCTGTTATCTATCTATCTATCTATCTATCTATCTATTATCTATCTATTGATCTATCTATCTATCTATCTATCTATCTATCTATCTATCTATCTATCATCTATCTATCTATCTATCTATCTATCTATCTATCTATCTATCTATCTATCTATTATCTATCTATCTATCTTATCTATCTATCTATCTATCTATCTATCTATTATCTATCTATTTATCTATCTATCTATCTATCTATTATCTATCTATCTATCTATCTATCTATCTATCTATCTATCTATCTATTATCTATCTATCTATCTATCTTTCTATCTATCTATCTATCTATCTATTATCTATCTATCTATCTATCTATCTATCTATCTATCTATCTATCTATCTATCTATCTATCTATCTATCTATCTATCTATCTATCTATCTATTATCTATCTATCTATCTATTATCTATCTATTTATCTATCTATCTATCTATCTATCTATCTATCTATCTATTATCTATCTATCTATCTATCTATTTATCTATCTATCTATCTATCTATCTATCTATTATCTATCTATTTATCTATCTATCTATCTATCTATCTATCTATCTATCTATCTATCTATCTATCTATTATCTATCTATCTATTATCTATCTATCTATTATCTATCTATTTATCTATCTATCTATCTATTATCTATCTATCTATCTATCTATCTATCTATCTATCTATCTATTATCTATGTATCTATCTATTTATCTATCTATCTATCTATCTATCTATCTATCTATTATCTATCTATCTATCTATCTTATCTATCTATCTATCTATCTATCTATCTATCTATCTATCTATTATCTATCTATCTATCTATCTATCTATCTATCTATCTATCTATCTATCTATCTACATATATGTGTGTGTATATATATATATATATATATATATATATATACACCAGGACAGGTATTTGTAATTCTCCCATTACCTACAGCAGGTTTGATCTTTCAGAAGCTGTGTGTAAAAAACATCATTCATAGCATTCATCATTCCCTGACATTAGCAGAGTACTTACTGTGTCCTTGGCACTGATCCCCTCACTATGTATCCGGGGAATATAAAGATTTGTATAATAATGATCATCTTCCTGAGAATTTTGGAGCGTTCCATGTATTCCCATACTCCGGAGAGGTTCAGCTGAGCGTAACATATGATGAGTTTTCTTATGACCTTTTATATACTTTTCTGATCAATTACTTTGGTGGAGATCTCTCCCAGTGGGAGCCAATTATTTCCCAAAGCTGATCATTAGTTTATTTTTAATACAGAAAAATAAACAAACCACCTTAGCATGTAAAAATAAACATTTGATTTCATCATACTAAGCATGAAAACTATCTAAGAACAAAGGAAGGGAAACTTGTTTTTGGGAGATTGTAATCTCCAATATCTGCATCTAAATATTAATAAGAAACCTACACATTTAATCAAGAAAACCAATATCTATACTGTGTGTGTCTGTGTGTAGGTATGTGCGTATGTATGTGTGCGTGTATATACAGTATATTCCAAGATTAGAGATCTGCTACATCTGCTGTGCCTTTTGGGTTTAACCGGACAGGCTGTGTTCCAACCAGGGGCGGACTGACAACTCATGGGGCCCCCCGGGCAATATGGGATCATGGGGCCCCTGTGTCCTTGCCCAAACTCAAAAAAAACTATGAAAAAGGTACCAGGGGCATCTCATGGGGCCCTCTACTGACCCCGGGCCCTTGGGCAGTGCCCAAGTTTCCAAATGGTCAGTCCACCCCTGGTTCCAACCCCCTTGGTAAGCACTGTCTTCAGTTTGGGCCTACTACTGGTGCCCAGTCATTGCATCTCCTGGGCCCAAATAGGGATGGAAACTGCTTGTGCTCCATTACAGGCTGCTATGTCTTCTCTGGATGAGGAGCAATATAGACTGTTATTGGAACCATGGGACTCTCTGTTCCAGGACTATCTCTTGCCCCATTAATGGCTCCTCCACCAGCTGCTGGAGAAGTATTTGCTAATATCTGCCACTAGCCCTGAAGATTTTGGCTGCACCGAAACCATAGACCATCCCATACATACAGGGGATGCTCCACCCTGGCTCTCTGTCAAAAGTTTAAGGACCTAATCTCTGGCTTTCTGTCAAGAGGTTAAGAACCTGATCCACAACATGCTACAGAGTGGGGTCCTCTGGGAAAGTCACAGCCCATGTGTTGCCCCAGTTTTCCTGGTGAGAAATATAGATTTGAGAGTACAGTTTTGCATGTCCTCCCCACATCTGCCTCCATCTGCGCACTCAAGGGTCATCCAGCAGCACCCCTGGTAGGGTTACACACTCTAGAGGAGTGAGCCCAAATCCAGCAACTGGATCCTGACCTCATGCAGGTGCTGCACTTCTTGGCCTGACTATAAAAATCATCCT